CCTGTACAAGGAAGCGTTTAGAAGGGAGCACAATGAGCCAGGATGTCAAGTGACTCTCTCAGCAGCTGCCTGACTCGACATGCTGCTGCCCCTGCCCAGCACCGCACCCAGACTCCTGGAGGTCCCAAACAAACTTTTCGTTTTGACCCCCCTTTTCCAGAAATAATAATAATAATCTTTTTAAAAAAATTAATTTGTATCCACGGCCAAATTAGTCAAAACTAATGCAAACTCCCAAGTGTCCAGATCCAGAAGTGGCCCTACTACCAGCAAACATCCTGCCCCTGGCACCTGGGACTCCAGATGTTTCCAAATCATTTGGCAGGCATCCTAGGTGCAGAACCAAGCCTGCAGGCATGGGGTTTCAGATGCCCCCGAGTTTTGCTTGCCCTTGGCGCAAGCAAGGGAGGAGACTCCCATTTCCATCAACAGGGCTGAAAGCTGTAACACCTCGGCAGGTACCAAGCCACGCCAGAAAAGCACTTCTCCTGGGTAGGGCTTCAGGTGAACTGCCTTCTTGGGCCCAGATACGTGGTATTTCCCCTGCCAGGTTAAGACGCTGCTAGGTTTGATCTGAGCCTTCCAGAGGCTGAGAAGAGTCATGATTTGCACCATTTTCAGGCTCCCTTTGTGTCTGGGCCCAGTTCTCCCGTGGCAGCGTCCAGCCCCGCCCCTGCCACGCCGGGCGGCTGGTTTTGCACCTAGGGTGGAGCAGGGCTGCAAAGAAGAGGGGCGCGTGCAGCAGGGCACCCCCTGGACGTGGTGCGCTGTGAGGAGGTGCGAGCTGGACGCTGCGAGCCAGGGCGCAGCGAGGCCGCAGGGGGGGGGACGCAGGAGACACGGACACACCGCGCAGCTCCAGTGGCCAGGCAGAACGGGTCGCGCCTGCGGAGCTGAGGGCGGCGGGGCGGGCGCGGGGGGGGCGGTGCCGCCCGGGGAAGGGGCGGGGCTCCGGGCGGAGCGGGGCGGGGTGGGTAGCGCGGGGCGCCACGTCGGCAGCGGAGTCAAGTCTGGGGCGGGCGGAGGGGCT